CGCTACTCACCAAGGATTCTGCACCATCTTGCAGCGTCGTGCCTCGCCATGCGCTTTACGCACTCTCAACCCCGTGCGACTTTCCACATGCCCTGGATGGCCCACCTGATCACACGCCCATGCCGCACACCATCCCTTGATCGCTACTCGGATGCATCAATCATCCAGCTCCTGCTGTTGCTATTGCTATTGCTGCTGCTGCTGCAGGCGAGGTGCTGAATGGTGGCAGTGCGAGATGACGAAATGGTGGCAGTGCGAGATGACGATGCAGCACAGCCTTGCTCGTTGCGCAATGTATTCGAGATTACCACTCGTGACTCGTGACTTGTATGCATCATTGTAGTGCTGCTGCAGAGCATGGAAGAGAGCAAGCGATGAACAGATTATCGCGCCTGCGTTGCTGCTGCAAGGGCGAGTGCGCGTGACGACGCTGCGTGCTGCTCTGCGATGGGAGGGGGGGTGTGCGATGATGTGCTATGGAGCTTGGTGGTGTGCATGATGTGCGAGGAGCTGATGATGAGCAGGATGATGGATGGATGGATGGATGTGTTGCCGCGGGTCAATACATGCGCGCGTGAATTCATGACGCGCGTTTCCCTTGATGCACGCGTCGATCTATAGCGTGTTGGTCATCGATCCAACGCGCGCACGCGCCGCGCGCAATGCATGAATGCAGCTCGGCAGACTCGAAGGCGATGCTGCGATGCTGCGATGCTGCGCCTCATCTTCTGCTCCGCCATACCTCTGCTCTGCCTGCCCGTTCGACCTGCAAGCCGGCAGTCGGTACGATAAGCGCGCCTGGACCGCATCTTGCCCTGCTCAGCACTCATCCACCACTTCTTGAAGGTGCGCTTGGGCAAAGTTGTGCTGCTACCATGCCCTGTAGATGTCAAGCTTGTGCACAGCTTGTCCCTTCAGCGGCTGTGAGCTACTCGGTAGAGCGCAAGCATGGCGGCATGGTGCAGCTCGCCTCACGCTCGCGACCGACTTTACCGTATTTTGAGGCAGAGGAGGGCGGGACATTACTCTGCAACATCCCAGACGCTGGTCTTCGAGGGGAGGGTGCGAGGTGCGAGCCTAGTGAGTCCGGCGAGCATGGCACGCTTAGCGCAGCAGCCCTGTCACACCGCGCTCGTCTCGGGTGAGTTGGGTGCTGCATGGCAAGCTGTGCTCTGCTATAGGTGTGCTCAGTCAGCTTAGATCTCAGCCCCACCTCGTCGACAAGCTCAGCCTACCCATGAGTGGAGCGATGGCGGGCTCATCTTTACGCACAAACAGCCTCGAATGCTCGACAGGCGTCGGTCTGGCAACCGATCAAGCGCACCTCCAGCTCCATGCGTGGCCTCCTGAGCAAGTGCGCACACAAGCCGAGCGGTGGGCGATTAGCACGAGGCTGCCGGACCTCGGTTGAACTTTGGACAGGACTGGCGAATGCCCATCAGCATGCAATGTTGCCAAGAGGAACGCTGACGGCGCGCAGATCGATGAGTGCGCTGCTTTGAACCACAGATGCGCATTTTGGGGATTGTGGTTCGCGCCGCCCCTGCTCATCGTTTGTTTACCTGTCTAGACTCTGATGATCATCTGCATATGTCTACCGCCCTTGAACGCTCGCCTCTCTTGGTCTTCTACGCATCTACATATGCGCGCACCGACTCTCTGCTGCTAGCAACACGTCAAAGTCCCCGCCATGCCTGAAGAGTGCTCAAGAGGAACCCGCCTTGAGCGGGTCTGCCATCTGCGCCAGCTTGCAGCCTGCCAGGTCGATTCACACTGGCTTTTCGGTGGTCCCATCCTACGATTCATTAGCTCGCTCGCCTCACACAGTGCTGAGTCGTATCCGAGGCGCGGCGTTGCTCCTTGCCGTCATGCTTGCGACCTCTTCATCACATCGCCATCGCGCGCCAATAAGCGCTCTCGCGGTGCGCACATTCGAGCACACAACGACCTCTAACGGATACGGTTAGCGGATCTGTGCCCGCAAAAGTGCATACACGGAGGCTTCTGCGTCCAGCGCACTACTTTCTACTTCAGTGTCCGTCAGCTTTCCTTCATCCCCCTCCAAGGGTCCAAGCAGCGCTGCAAAGCCTTGACGATGTATTTTCCTGTCTTTCCAGCGATCTCCACACACAGTGTCCTGGTCTGCCGTCTCAAACGGCTTACACAACGATTCGATGGGACGTGCGCAGTGCTTTCCGCAAAGAACGAGTCTTCGGTGTTGGTCCCATTAGCACAATGCTACTCTTGGCGCTGTTGTAGGAGGAGGGCGACAGGCACTCCAAATGGAGCCTTTGATACCTTTGTGGCATGCAACCGCTCACTGGCATCTCTAAGAAATTCTACCTCTGTCTGCAAGGCGTTTTTGGGTCCCTCGGCGTAGAATTGGTCCGCAACACCAATGCAAGGCGAACGACTTGATGCGGAAAATGACTGTCGAGAGGCGATTCGAATTGGGTGCTCGGCAAACATCCACGGCAGTCTGATGGTGCAAGCTCTCATACGAGGTGCACCCCTTGGAATGCTTTGCGCAGGGCGGGCGCCGCCGCCAAAGCCCACTACGAACACAAAATCCCAGCAGAGCAAGACGCTTGCACCACCAACGTGTCCCTCCGGACCCTCTTCCCTCGAATTGCGGCAGACTCAATACTCGATCTGCACGCTAGCAGTTTGCGAGCAAATCGCGCTCTGCATACCTGCTCCTCAACCAATGCCAGCGCCGTCGTGCTCACAGCTCCTGGACAGCTCAGTCAGTAGCTGTGTGGTGTGCCCCTTCCCACGAGGTCGAGCGTTCTCCTCTGCAAAGCACACAAAGCCGACCACACGATGACGTTCGTAGCCATATGGACACAGCTCATCTTGGTGCGCGGTGATATCGTCGGTCATGTAGACACGAGGAGCACCAACGTGAAGGTTCAGAAAGCCCTCCGTCCTTCAGCAACCCTTGAGCGGAGTGACTTTGCCGAACGAGCGCCGGACACAGGAGGCAGCATATACACTTCTACTTGCCTTTTCAACTCGAGCTTCATAGCAGCTCGCTCATACGCTCCATCATGTGCCAATTGTCCAATGCATGCCTAATTCTGTGGGACGCTGCTGACACCATTGTCCAGCTCGGTGTCGTCGGCCGATCGACTTTTTGCGGAAGCGATGATATCGATGCTGCAATCTCGACTCGCGAATGCCAACGTGGGCTTAGGATTCCGTACTGGACGCCAAGAGAAGCGTGCGTGTTTGCTGCTATCAATGTCAAGTACTACCCGTGCGGTGCTGTTGTGCCTGCTGAGATTTGGTATTCTGGGAGGGACGGCCACATGCCTTCCTTGGCTACATGTATGGCAGTCTGCACAGCTCAGATAATCCAGCCTGAGCCAAGCGGAGAGAGAACCCACGAGAGAAGCGAGCCACACGAAAGGGTGAAAAGAAAGCACGTAGTCAGAATCCTTCTTGCTGCCCACGTGAGTATTCAAAAGTTTGGGCAATTATTATGTGCGGTCGTTCTCGGATTGGTCTCGTTGTTGTCAGCCGAACACTCTTTCTTACCGTGTGTCTTTTGGGCGCAATCTCAGTCTCGATTGCAAGTAGAGGGGGGAAAATATGATGCTAAAAAGAAGGAACACGGTAGCCGGGCCGACTATAAAACGCGTGGCATGACTATCTTGACTAAGCACGATCAGACTCAACCTGAAGACCCTAGATCAGTCGGTCTACAAGCCCGGCTGTGTCCATGCTTCCTCCCCAGCCAGGCGCTCTTCCTCCCCGTGCCCATCACACGAAAGAACAAGAGTCCGGTGCTCACTGACACCTTGACTTCCTGAAGACCTCTTGAGTGCACGAAAGGCAACTCTCCGGAATAGTCACTTCATGAGCACTGGAAAATGAGAGGAGAAGGAGCAGGTGGTACCAGGAAGATGAAGAGTCGCTCGCCCACGAGCACTATTGTTGCTACGCTCGCACTGACTCATCCCTCGATTTGCACAATTTTCCTGAACTGATTCCTCGGTTTGCACGATTTGCACGTCCTCTTTCCCGCCCTCGATTTTTCGCTTCTCGTAAAAAGGCAACAGGCTCGTGCTAACGCGCGTGAGCCAAATATGGTCTTCGCGCGAGCGAAGGCCCCCGGTAACACACGTGAGATTAGTGACATTGATTGGACTACCCACCTGCTTGGAAACATGCCGTCGAGATATATAGTGTTGACTGTCTCTATTTGTCTGTTGCTTGATGGCGACTTGATGGAAGTGAGCGCCGATCACTGAGTAAACGGATATTTTGTGTGAAACTGAACTTGGTGACGACCGAAAAGGCGTTTTGTTGGGGTCGTGCCGAACGGAGGCAGATGACCGAGTGAAGCAAAACCTGCAGATTTGTTGGAGTAAAACTTCAGATAATCATTACAAACGTCTAAAAATGCACGGACTGACCGTTCTTGGGACTTGTTTGAGCTCTGGCTTGTAGCCCTATGAGGGACATACCATGCACGGCTCGTGGAGGAAACACAAAGTCCCAGAACATTTTCCTTCGGATGCGTCGCAGGCTGGCAGGTCAACATTCGACACAACTAACATTGAGCTGGTCAGCAATTTGAGAAAGAGAAGAGACACACACGCACAACCAACACACACACCCACCCACACACACACACACATACACAGACAGAATACTTGAGCAAGCGCACAGCGAGTGAACTCTCGCTCTCCCGGTAACGACACAGTGAGCGCGACTAAGGGCTGAAGCATTTGCAAGGTAGTAAAACTAAAAGACCCAGCGGAATCCTTCCCAAAATCGATATTTTATCCGGGCAAGCCAGCCCGAAAGAATGTAAGCTTCGAAAGAATCTGAATCACCTTTGTCGCTAGTGTATCTTGAAAAGTTGCTGCCCGCCTTGGGACTGCGGGGTCGATTTTTTGAATGCACTGCGCTTGTCTTCGATGTCCAGTTTCACAATATTTTCCAAGATATTTCTTTGATTCATTCCTGCTCTAACTCTCGAGCAAAGTGATTCTCATCGTGAGATTTCAGTTGCCCGTCTCCCCCACGATTTGACACCACGTGTAGAACATGCCAGAGAAATTAACACGCGTTTTGGCAGGAAAGTTCCGCGCTTCCCTGCTAGAACCCCAATTTGACAACGAGTTTTGAAAAATCACTTGTCTTTCAGGCTAGACCAAAAATTCTATTATTTGTGTGTGCCATCAAATGTGTCAGTCACAGGCTACAAAAAAACCTCTCCAAAGGCCTGTCAACCTGTTTCTGGTGTCCGTCTCATGTACGTAATTCGTCCCCGTCATTCTCATCTCTTTGTCAGTTCTCTTTTCTCAAACGCTTTCTTTGAGCGACTCCACTTCTGGCTTGCATGGACAAGCTCCGGCGAGGCCAGCATCTCAAGCGCATTTCTCAGGCTTCAATCTTGTTCTCACTGGAACATGCTCAAGACACTTCTTGTTGATCAACATGGGCAAGCTAGGATGAGTGCGACATGAAGGGGCATTCCGCAGCTGATTCTTTTTTGTTCCTCTCCCATCATCACTTTGTTGAGTTTATCTCTCTCTCCAAGTACCTTCGAAAACAACACCATCGTCACCACCCTGAACACCCTACAAAATGGCGCCTTCCCGCAATCAAAGACAGTACAACCAGATCAACAACTATTGCCACGACCAGTCGGTCAAACGCGCCCAGGCGCAAGACAGGGCTGATCGCAAGGCGGCAGCGCGCGCTCTCTCCCACCTGCATTGCTAGCCACACTGGCACCTCCGCGCCTGCACGGTGAGACACCACCTTCAAAAACAGCACCATTGTCACCACCCTGAACACCCTACAACATGGCGCCTTCCCGCAATCAAGGACAGTACAACCGGATCAACAACTATCGCCACGACCAGTTGGTCAAGCCCGCCCAGGCGCAAGACAGGGCTGATCGCAAGGAGGCAGCGCGCGCTCTCTCCCGCCCCAAGGTTTGTTCCAGCAAGACCTCAAAGGTGACCCTACAACATGGCGCCTTCCCGCAATCAAAGACGGTACAACCGGATCAACAACTATCGCCATGACCAGTGGGTCAAATGTGCCCAGGCGCAAGACAGGGCCAATTGCGAGGAAGCGGCGCGTGCTCTCTCCCGCCCCAAAGTTAAAAAGACCTCAAAGGTGAGCTCCAAGTGGCAGCGGAAGTACTTAGGCGGGCACGCAATCGAGATTGTGAATGATCAGCGCTGAGATCCTGTCTTCTTGACTCTCTAAGCCCAAGCCCAAGCCAAAGCCCAAGGCGAAATCTAAAGCAAAGCACCCCTTGTCCAAAGTGCCTGCGCTTCAGCCCCGCCCTCTCCCGGCTGCTCCTCACACTCCTCCAAAGCCGGTGGACAAAGAGCTTGCAGCTCACAAACCGTTTTTGGATCAGGCCTACAAACAGCTCAGCGAGGTGGATCGAATTTGGAAAGCCGGAGGTCCATTCAGAGCAATACTTGGTAGTTCTGACAAAGCCACGCAGAATTACAAACGCAAGCAGATGGTGGCCATCAAGAAGATATTGCGCGCCAAGAAGCTTGTGGCTGACCACGAGAAGGTCCTGGCTGGAGCCTCTCCTGCTTGTGAGTCGCCGTTTTGTTATCACCTTTGCAATTTGCTGCTCAAATCCTGAGAGGTTGTTCCCCTGGACTGAATCTTTCTTGTTCCTGTTCCAACAATGAGTCTATCAAAAAAGCCCAGGTACAAGACAGGTCCAATTCCAAGGAAGTGGCACTGTCTCTCTCCTGTCCCCAGACTTCAGCCAGCACCACCATCAAGAGCCCAAAGGTGAGTCACATGTCAAGATGCCCTCTCGAGCAATTCCTAGGCCAACCATCAATGCGGTCCATCTCCTGGTCCGCGTAGCAAGATACTTCCAAGACGCAGAGAAGACAATCAACTTGAAGCATCCCAGCAAGCAGCTGGTGGCATCTTGCCAGCTCACGTTGCAGCAATTGGCATTGCCAAGACGCCAAGCCGCTACCACAAGGATATCAATGACAACAACCACGATGGATGCGATGACAATGGTAACCCATTACCTTTCCCTCCTCTCAGGCGCAAACAGCCTAATGTGTCTGACCTAAGCCTGTTGTGGTCATTGTTTGCAAGCTTGCTTGCCAACAGCGTATCTGGTGAGTTGCTGATGTGCAGTTGATGTTCAGGGATGGTGTTAATGCAAGATGTGGTCCACAGTCATACATGCTCACGGTCATCTTGCGCGCATGCATGAAGGCTGAAGGAGGGAAGCGGGAGGGCAAAAGGGATCGTTGCATTCATGTGTGTCACAGGCCTGTCGTTGCTAGTTGCACCTCGATGACGCCCGGCACGCAAATTAACAGGTGACTGTGGCTGCGTCAATGGGCAATCAGAGCGTCCAGATCGGTTAAAAATGTGATACCATGTAACATGTCGAATTGGGCTTGCACCTTACGTAGGTCCTGGCAAAAGCCGGCGATAACATGTGATGATGAATAGATAGATGATGCTGTCGCGTGCATAGAGTGGTACACGTCTCGCCTTGGGTCATGACTGCATCGATCTAGCCACGATGTCGAACTTCGACCCACCATCATACGCCGCGTGTCACGAGTGAGCAGGAGTGAGCAAGACGCTCCTTAGGCTCCTCCCTCGACGCAAATCATTCGTGACTGGGGCTCTGGAATGAATGATTTGCCACGCTCTCAGCAAGGCGGAAGCCTTTTTTCAGCCGTTTCTAGTAGTACTTGTACAAAATCTATTGTTGAGACAGTAACCGACATTGGCTTGCAAAAGGGATCGATGCCCGGGGGAGCCTCAAGGTCTAGTCTACTGGTCCGTTGATGTACGGGCACTTGTGATCTTGTGGAGCCAGACAGCTTTGTCGTGTAGAGGGGTCGCAAGAAGGAGCCTAGTGCCAGCACAAAGTGCAGCGACACCTTTCTCAAGCCTTCAGTTTTCCGCCGGTACTCGAGGAGCCAGAGACTTGAGCAGGGGCGCTCGAGCTTTTGAGCAAGTTCGCCTCACGTTTGGTAGCCGAAGCGACACGTGAGCTCCTACTGATCATTTCCCTCCCAGTCCACGAAGCGCATGGCTGATCACAATCGACACAGAAGAAAAGTCGAGTCTGGTCACCGAGTTTGACCCCATGTGAAATCAAAGTTCCGCGCTACACTGCTCTTGTCTGCATTGCCAAATTTCTGTGGATCCAGTCGCGGAGTCGACTTGCTTCGCTCAGTCGCTGTGGAACATCTCGTGCACTCAGGTGTGCAAGCAGACTGTTTTGCAATTGACATACTCGTTTATTTCAGAGACTTAGTCTGCGGTGGCCACCTCGCTTGCCACCAAAATCCTCCAAAATTCCATACAGCGTAAAATTGCGGCTTTTGTTTTTTCGAAGGCATGTAAGAGTCAATTTGTAGCGTCGAGGTCGTCCAGTCCGACGCTGTAAAAACGGCATTCACTTGTTCATCAGAATAATTCTCACACCATTGCAGCAAGCGTCGCAACAAAGTACATTTGTGACGTTACGCAAAGTTTTTAGAGTTAGCCGAAGCGGCAGATTGAAACCTTGAGCACGTTTCTACATTTTGGTGCCTACCAAAGTAATTCTTCTTAGCCTTTCTATACAGAAGAAGCTGAGCTTAACTCAAAAGTAGTGGAGGCTTCTATCGAATTTTTGTTGACTCTTTGCGTTTGATGAGAGCACTGGACGACGCCCTCTAGACTGTTTTCTTCTTCAATACAGCGCCACGCTCTGGGAATGTGCTTGTCTCATCTTATTGAGGATTGCTCTGCATTATGCACTCGATAGCTCAAGACGGTGAAAGACGGCAAGCAGATTTGCTTGAAGGAGCTTTGGCGCGGGTGCAGAAATATGTATACGTCTGTGAAGCTTCTGCAAACGACCAATTGAAGTTTTGGGTTGTGCAAAGTACAAACGGGAGTCTCGGCGTCTCCTTTTCTTGATCTCTAAGCCGGACAAGCTGGATCGCCCCCACCTCTCGCCACCTTCGGCTCCAGCGTTCTGCGTTCAGCACATGCGTGTTCGTGTAGGCTCTCCATCCCAAAAATCTTGTGCTGGCAAAGTCATTCGTATGGAGGCTTCATTTTTCGGCATGCCCGGCATCTTGCCAGCATATCGAGGGACGAACAGTGACTGAGCAAAATCACCTCTCTGTGCAGAAGCTACAACAGTTTGATGTGCTTGGCGGGGAAAATTTATAGCTTTCTATTTCCTTTTCGCCCCATCATCTTTTACCTGTCAATTCGCAATCAGAATGGGTGATCTACTTCTGATTGATACCTTTATTCAGGATGTAAGCCGCTTCGAGAACGTTGCCGGTCTACCTCAACAGGACCTTAGTCCTCATAAGAAGACAAGTGCATACGACGAAAAAGTCAAATGCGCGCAAGCGCCTCAGTGAAACTAGAGCATTCATTCGGCTTATAGAAATGGGTGAAAAAATGGACACTGCGCCAGTCGAAAATGAACAGCGAAGGTACGGAACCTCGCTAAAGAGACCGCTACAACACCTCACCAAAAAGCCCAGCAATGAAGGACAAACTTTCAATCGTGGGAAAATCATGGGGGAAGCACGACCAGAGCCCCAAAAGGATTTTGCGACCAAGCATACTTCATGCAATGTGCCGATTGTGAGACGACGGAGCGCAAGCAACACTTGTCAGTGTGAGTGTTATAGCTTGCAACAATCAGCGCAGCAAAACAAAAAGCCGCTTGGTGTCAGCGTTACCTCTTGAGCTGTGGAGTGCATGGTGTGCTGTGCCCATGTGAGTGTGACAGTCTGCCATAAGCCAGCCAACTGATGGCTTGAGCTGGGTTTTTGTGAAGGAAGGTGTCAAGGTTTGACCTTAATGAGGACATGCAAGCGGGCACACTGACTCTACAAAAACATTTTGAGCAGTCTGGCCACAGGACGCAGCGCAGGGGCCAGCAAGAGTGCTGGAAGTTCTGTCAAGTGTTCATTGGAGCAAAGCAAGCACCAAAGGGAGAGCAATACAAGCAACACTGCACACAGCATCATGGCTGGTAAGTGAAAGACTCACTTGTCTCACCACCCTAACCTGGACAGCGCTCTGGCAGGTACGTCATCGAGAGCCATCGGTCTTGGCAAGCTGGCACGGGACTGGCAGATAGAGGAGGTGAAGCGGACTCTATTCGAGGGTGCCGATCTTCATGATCTCCTCATACGAAGGGCCAGGTCGAGGCTGTAATGGGACCCCTCACCCTTGCCATCGAGCGCTTCTCCAAAATCGCCTCATTCGACATTCGGTCAGCGTGCGTCCAAAGAAAGCGGCCCCCGCACGCTGAAGTAGACCTCTAGATGCTTGAGTCACGAGTCACAAGTGAGATGTGCCATGCCACATCAAATCAAGAATTTGATGCAATCACGAATGAATTTCAGATCGCGCGCGCGTCTGATCACAACTGGCGAGTGGACAGAAGATTTGGGAAGACGCTCTGCCCGACCTGTCGCGGATGTCATGCAGAGGGATGATGTGGTTCTCATTGAAGATGCGAGCGTGCATGTGATGCGTACACGAAGGCGTCTGAGTGCGTGCGCGACAGACCTCACCCCTACTCCTCCTCCTCCTCATCGTCATCATCCTCCTCCTCCTCCTCATCGTCATCATCCTCCTCCTCCTCCTCCTTCTCCTCCTCACGACCATCATCATC